ATGCTCTGGATGTGATAGACACCTTTTTTGGAGGGAGGGGGAGTCGGAGCGTGTGAAGGCGCTGGACAATTGCCTGATACTCCGGCTTCGTGCTCGTTGCACAAACCGGACAGGCACCTGTGGGTTCTCTAATTTCATAACTTGCGGAAGTATGAGAGGTATCCAATAAGGGAGGCTGTCTTATTCCTTCCTCTCTTACTCACAGCCTTTTTATTCATCCTTGTCGAGGTGCATGTTTTCTTAGGGATTAGTTTATTAGTAGCGTTTTGAGATATGCGGCCTGGGTCCATTGGGACGGGTGAATCGGAAAATGGCTCTGGTCGTCTAGGTAGATATTGCATTGCTAATACTCAGAGAGGGAAGTGGACTACCAGGTGAAGGTAGGGGTTTAATTGATGGACGAGACGCAGAATGCTTTTATGGGTTACCTATTCTTTCAAAAGCATTTCTCCCCTCATCCCTCATGCTTGGTAGGGCACAAGGTTGACAAATAGCACCTCCTGATGCGCCTTCAACAGGGTGTATGTTTGGCAAGGTCGCCTACTTCTCTTACGTGGTGTGCAGATCCGCTGATTACTGCTGTACCTCACCCAGTTCCTCCCAGGGCTGCCTTCTCTGCAAAGTGGCTCTCGGTAAAACTCACAACTGTTTTGCTGGCAGCACCTCTCGAAGAGTGTGTAAGCCTTCTTGCTATGAATACGCAACCACGATCCAGCTCATCCACACCGACTATCCATGCTGTGCGCGAATCAGAGTGGGATCGTTGAGCTGAGAAGTTAAACAGGCAGAAAACAAAACGGGTAAGACGGGTGATAGGGTCAGCTACAATCCCAAAAATGCCGCCAGCACTGACTTTCAATAACCTTCTACCGCAAAGGTGGAGCATTAATGCATTCTTTGGTTTGGACCTTGATAACTTTTCTTCACTGCCAATACATACAGGAATATTGTCAGGGGAGTATCACAGTTTTCGGAAGGATAAGAATATGTGAATTATGTGGTCACC